GAGAGGGTTAAGTCGGGCTGCTCCTTGGAGACAGGGATTCTGAGGCTTCATCTGACATACTTTGGATATGTTGTAAGGTGGGGCCAGTCCTTGGAGAAGGACATCATACTTGGGAGGGTAGAGGGACAGCGCAGGAAGGGAAGACTCTCTATGAGGTGGATTGATTCAGTGACTGGGGTAATCGGGATGGAGACAGTGTGGTTTGCACAGGACAGAGCAGAGCTTAGGGCTGTTGTACATAGGGCTGTTATGAGTCACAAGTGACTTGATGATACATAACAACAACAAAACATAGTATATCGTTGTGTGAGTATATCACAGTTTCTCTACCGATTTATTTATGTGTGTCTTCTTTCTGCTTTTCTTGGAAATCAGACAATTGTTTTGGGGTGTTGGGTATATTTCTTTAAGGAGGTCACATTCTTACCGGTTTCAAGCTTTGTTTCTGACAAATGTCTGGTTGTTCTTCCTGGACCTTCCATCACATATGATAAAATCATGTTTTTTACCCTCTTTATTTCTAACTCTTTTCTCTGTTCTTTTTATTATGTTTCCCTTATGATGGTGTAATGGAATTATATATTCCAAAACACACTGAACATTTTTCATTTTTCAATGCACTTTAAAAATATGTTCTTTATGTTCTGAAGAAGAGTAGTTATTCTTCTTTATAACATCCTTATAATTAATAGAGGAATAGAGAACATAGTCCTGTGTACTCAGCTTGACATTTTATTTTGCTAAAATGTCAAGAAAAATACACAAAGAATACATCAATACAGAGGATCCCAGGAAAACCACCAGGATGGGATTTATAGTCCTAGAGCATAGAGGCTCTGTGTTTTAACGTTCTGCACATTATTCTTTTGAGGAGAGAACAATGCACCAATCTGATCTATGGATGACGACAAAAACTGTGTGGGTATTGCTAACTCATCTCATTCTGGTGAAGTCAAACTGGGTATATATTTTTTTAAATACTTATACACCTACTGTTTTTGAGAGATTCTAACTAATAGAGACTCAATAACCTTTTATGTTTCTCAGATTATTATTGATGACGATGATGATGTTGATGACTTAAATGAAAGTTTACATAAAAGTTGGGTTTTCATTCATTCATTGCTGCACATTTTCCTACTTACCTCTTCCCTAGTTCATTAAAAAAAAAAGAGTTCCTATTCCAGCAGGGCCTTCCTTTCCTATTTCTTAAAAAATATAAAAAAAATTTTAAAAAAATCGTTCATTGGTGCCTACATTTCTGAGATTTGTGATCTGTACCGGAATAGATCTTTTGGATTAGTCATAATTTTTTAATGTTTTGCAGGGTTTTTAGTGCTATATTGCTAGGCATGTAAAATTAATATATATTTTGTTTTATCTACTTACATGTTTTGCATATATATTAATTTACAATGTTTTAATATAATATTTCCCAACACTCTGTTTTGTAAAATTGATAATCATTGATCTATGCCCACCCTATCTTTTCAGGTCTTTCCTAATTCCTTCACCTCCTCCCTCTGCCCACAGAGCACTGTGCCCCATGTCCTCAAAAAGCTGAACACAGAGTTCCATATGATCTAGTTATCGATATCTAGGAATATACTCCAAGGAAAATAGAACTGTGACACAAATGAATATCTGTGCACAGATGTTCAGAGTAGTGTTGTTCACAATAGCAAGAAAAGGGAAACAGCTCAACTGCCCATCGAAAACAAATAATCTGAGAAACTGTAGTGCATTCTCAAAATTCAGCCACCATTTCATAAAATACTATATAACATGGGAGAGGCTAAAGAGCATTATGTTGAGTGAACTCAGTCTCATAAGAACAGATACTGCATAAGAACACTATTGTAAAAATATAATGATAAAATCATGGGAATGCAGTAGCTCTTTTAATATCCCCCACCCCCACCCCAGGAAAACAGGTGGTATATTTCAACTAATAGCATTTCAATTAGTAGCCAGTTGTGCTATACAGTAAACACATTTTAAAATCAATGATTTTTTCCTTATTTAATATTGAATAGTACAGCATACTAAACATGCAAAGGAATTATTGATTATTAATTGATTATTATTAGTTTTAATTTGTATTCATTCTGGAAATTACTAATTCACATTTTGCATTAAATTTTAACATGATCACCTTACTGATTCTACTTCATTTGAGTTGTGTGATCCAGTTGTGTCTACAAAAATCATATCTAAGAGTAGGGATCTGTCACAGTAACTATCGTGTACTGAGCATTTGTAGATTGTTTCCAACAGATTTTATAATCCTATCTCTTTCACTGAATTCAGTGTTTCAACTCTAGATTCTTGGTTTATTGCTTTGTCTTATAAGTTGTTTTTCATAGAACTATTTATAAACTATTATTGTTGTTACTTACCATAGTGTTGGAACCCTACCATACCTGACCCAACAGTGGGTTTTCAGAGGCAGTTAATTGCACAGATTAAGATTGACCATCCTTCCCCTACATTTATAAATTACTAGTACTTGAAATGTATTTATTAAAAATATAAATATGACTACAGCACAAACTTGGAGACAGATTTATTGAATTTTTGTATTCTTGATCAAGATTCTATCAACTTTCTTTAAAGACATGAAAAGAACAATCATTATATTGAAATAAAGGAGACCCCCAAATAAGCAAAGAAATTCTGGAAAAGAACAGCAATGTAACGGGTAAATCAAAACATCCTTATAACCATGATAGTCACGACAGGTTGATCTTGATACAGTTGAGAACCTTTAAAAAATTCTATCCATGTATGGATAGCTGGCTTTTAGTTGCTGATAAACCTGAAAATCTATTGCAGAGAAAATATCCATTTCTCAGTACCACAAAAAAATTTACTCAAAATGCAATAAATACATAAATTAGATTTTAAAAGGATAAGGATTAACTTTGGTGCCTTTAGCACTCAGGAGAGATCCTTGACAACAGATTTTCCTAATGCAATTAATCTTTTGGTTTCCTAACTGCCAAGAGTGATGATTGTGGAACTGAGTAAACTGAAATTGTTAACAATCTCAATCTCTCCTTCAGCTATCATAGTGCTGTCAATTGGCCTAGTGGTGAGAAAGTTTGTTTTCTTTGTGTTTAGCTTCATTCCATATTGAAAACTATAGTTTTCAATACCTTCTGTAGCAAATGCTTTAGATTTTCCTCAATTTTGACAAGCAAGGTTATTTCCTCTGCATAATGCAGGTAGTTGATGAGTCTGCCTTCAATGCAAATGCCACATTCCTTTTCATAAAGTCCAGTCTCCTTAAAAATATGTTCCTCATAAAGACTGAAAACTTCTTATGTGATTTACTACCCCTGAGAAAACCTTCTGGAGAGTCAGTTATGAGTTAGCTTTGATTTGACAGTACATAATAATGTAGTTGTTTTATGAAAAAATGTTATAAGATAATCCAACACTTAAGTATTTTATAGAAAAAGTGAAAATATATCCCTTATCGTGGAATTAACCATTAGTTTCAGTATTGTCCCTGCCCTAGGCACTAGTGTCCTGACCCACTTATTTCTTTCCTCCACCACCCATCAAGATATCCATCCACTTCTACCCACTCCCCTCACCATCTATTTCCCATTGTCCAGCCTTGATCTGATAGCTTATATCCAAATTTTCCTTGGCTTTTGTGATCCCAGACTTGTCAGCTGCTAACAGTTTCTTATGTTGTGACCAGAGTCTCCTAAGTTCAGTTGTAATGTGTCCTGAATGAAGGTGATGTGTCCTGTAGTCTGGTGTGGGTGTGATAATATAAACTTTTATTTTACTTCCTTTACTCAATACACTACTATAAGAATGAGTCTCCAACAACTAGTAAGATGTGTATAAAAATCCAAAAAGAGAATGGAAAGGCGAGTCGGGGGTGGGGTGGTGTAATGGTAAGGGGGTAAATCACTGGGTTGCAGAGACTGATGGGCAGTTAGAGAGGGTGAGGGAATTAGGAAAGATCAGGTGGGGACATGAAAAGATGGGTAAACAGTGTGCATTGATCAATAATAATCAATGTCCTAAAACAAAGTGTTTGGGAATGATAGCATGAAACACAATGTGAATGAACCCATGTGTAAAATACATGTATATAAGTGAAATAAAATATATATGAATTTTATATGCAATTCAATAAAAATAAATGAATTACATGAATTAATTTCTTAAAAGAATGAATTTTTGTTCTATGTCTTGAAAACATGTATTAAATTCAATATTCAACATTTCTTTATTTGAAGGTATGCATATATCACAATTTGGTTTTTTCTTCTTAGTCACATTATAGATTTAAGCTGTCATGAAAAGTCACTGCTCAGATTAAATAGAGATCTGAAATAAAAGGCATTCTTTCCCTTACAATGACAAAAACAAACCTGGGAACACTATAAATTGGAAAATATACATCACCACATGAGGGTGTTTCTGTTTACTTGATTGTTTTGGTTTGGTTGGTTGGTTGTTTTTGTTTGTTTGTTTTGTTTTGTTTTCATAGAGCTATTTGGTGGATACTTTTTCATATACACACATAGTTGCTCTTTTTAGCATTTTTTTTGCATTTCCCCACAATGCATATCCTCTTCCCAGTTTGTCAACTCTAATACACATAATGTGTGATAATCCATTTTAGATCGATCTTCCCTTCACTCATCCCAACAGAGTTCACTCTCCATCCATTCTCCTTGTGTGTCTCTCTCACCCACCCCACATTCACAACCATCCTATTGTCCTAACATAGTCTTACACGGTATTTACCCTTTGGTGACTGAGTGATTTCATTCGGAATTATGTCTCCCAGACTGATCTATGTTGTGTGGAGTTTCAAAAGTTCATTGCTTTTCAAAGCTTTGTGTGAAGGTACCATAGTTTCTCTATCTATTCATTTGTTAACGGGCACTTGATTTGCTTTCATTTCTTCACAATTGTGAATTATGTTGTAATAAACATAAGGGTGCATATATCTATCTGTGTCACAGCTCTGGTTATTTAGGGCCTATTTTCATTAGTCAGATAATTGGATCAATTTTATTTTATTTTCAACGTTTTAAGGAAGCCTTCCATAATAGTTATACCATTTTACATTTCCACCAATACTGCAAAGGAGTTACAATCTCTCCTTCACCAACATTTGTTGTTTGCTACTCTGTTGATCTTTTCTGTTGTTGATGGAGTGAGAAGATGTGTCTTAGGTGTTTTGCTTTGAATGTCTCTTATTAGCAACCAGCATTATGCAGATGACACAATGTTGCTTGTTGAAATTGGAGAAGGACCTGATGCTCTTTATTGCAGAACATAAATAATGATAGCATTCTTTTTCCTTATTTTGACTTCTTTTCACTCTATGAAAGTTTCTGAATTTCTTCTGACCTCCATTTTCTTTTCTTTTCTTTTCCTTTTTGCCTGTATTTATAATGAAATTTCACAGAAAGTGAAGGAATTTGAAGGAATTAGTGCAGAAGAACAAAACTACAATCTCAGCATCAAGAAAACAAAAAATCCTCACCACTGGACAAAGAGGCAACATCATAAAACTAAAGAAAAAGTTGAAGCTGTCAATTATTTCATTTTATTGGATTCACAAACAACATGCATGGTGGCAGCTGTGTAAAGATCAAAAGGTGTATTGCATTTGAGAAATTTGCTGTTGAGAATCTATCCAAAATTCTAAAGAACAAGGAAGTTAATTTAAAAACAAATATGCTCCTGATACAAACCAGAATATTTTCAACTGCTTTGTATGCACGTGAAAGCTGAATAATGAATAAGATGATTAAGGATGAAAGAAGAATTGATAACTTTGAATTGTAGTGTGTTAGCAAGGAGTATTGAATATACCAGGGATTGCCTTGAAGGAAATGCTACAAGAGTGTCAGGGATGGTGACATTTTGTGTCAATTTGAGCACATTTTCAGGAGGAACTAGTCCTTGGAAACAAACATCATGTTGGGAAAAGTGATCCCCTAGATAGAGTGAAACAGTGACTCCTACAAACAATTTAAGCCTGACAGATTGTGAGGATAGGGCAGGATCGGGTAAGGTTATATCTTTTATTAATAAGATCAGTTTGAGTCATAGATGACTCATTGGTACCTAACAACAAGAACAACATAATGCACAAGTAAAACAGTATTTATAAGACACTAAAAGACCAATAGCTATTCTGAAGTGTGCTCATTGATAGCTACAAGTTATAGTTACCTTGATGACACCTAACAACATCAGCAACATCTCAGGTGATAACCAAGGCACTGTTCTGTGTAACTCATTGGAATGTTGGTCTGAAAAATAATCTTTTTAGTGCATAGCCTGCAGTGTCAAGGCAACCACATAAGGATTTTTTAACATTTTCTTGAGATGAGAAGCAGATTTAATAGCTGCCCAGATCCCTGCCAGAACCCAATATGGGACAACAGCAGTACTTCTCTTAGAGTTACTCATCCTCTTTGGACCTGAGAAGACCTGGATGAAGTCCTTACACTTCTCAATACCACAGTCAGTGATGGGCTCCATAGTATTTCTAGGGAGTCTCTCAACCAAGGATAGCTGACAAACTACGTTTGTTGTGTGTTAAAATCTTTGTCTTCAGAATGTTTGGGGACAATGAAGAAGGGCTTATATTTTTAGGATTATAGTGTCATACATCTGTGTCTTACTTGCTTTCCTCAGGCTGGACAGTTCTTGAGTTTTTTAATAGTCAGCTGCTTAAATATGAAAATCAAATAACATCTATCTATTGAAGTAAATATGGATAAATATGTGTTTGACTCATTATCAACCTTCCCTCTGGATCCACTGAGAACACAGATTACTTACCATGGATGGGAAATTGAAAACCTTTTTGGTGGCAATGACCACAGATAAGAGACACTTCGGTTACATGACATAGGATGTGAATGTGGTTATTCAAGATGTCTTGTCTCCTCTCTTCTCAGTAGGCATTCATTCTGAGATCCAACTAATGCAGTCTGGTCTGAGATGAAGAAGCCTGGGACGTCAGCGAACGTCTCCTGCAAGGCTTCAGGATACACTTTCACTTTCATGCACCAGATGGTAGAGGCTCCTGGACAAAGATTTGAGTGACTCGGTCGTTTTTACCCAGAATGTAGTACCACAGAGTACTCACAGAAATTCCAGGGCAGAGTCACCATGACCAGTGACACCTCCACATGGAGGTTAAGAAATCTAAGATCTGAGGACACAGCCATGTGTTACTGTACATGAGACACAGTATGCTAACCTCATACTGAATGTGATAAATACCATAAAAAATCAGGTACCTTTATCACAGTTATAGGTAGCAAACAACTCGGGTGACTATTTCCTTAAATAATTGAAAACTAAAAGCAAGTTAAATATAAAAATAACTCTAATTATGTACAGACTGGCCAGAGGAACCGGGCCAGAGTTGGCTACCATCTGGGCATGCTGGATAAGGGTAAAATCCTGAGAGGTCGGGCCATGCCTAGTGTCTTGGGATACTTAGTATCAGCTGCATGTGTCCTCTGGTTTCCTCGGGAGAGGCAACTATGGAAGTCTCTGGGCATTTGTGGCTATCTCTGTGCCCCAAGTGTGGGTCAGCAGAGCGGACTTGTCAGAAGAACTGTGGGGGTGACTGTAATGAGTGGCCTTAAGGCCTGTTTTTCATTGTTTTTGCTCAGTCTTCTAGGTTGTATAGCCCTGGTGTGTCCACTTGCCAGACAGAGGTAACTTTGTGGTGGCTGTGAAGCTGAACACTGTGACACTGACGTGTCAAATGCAAGAATGTTTACCCATGGTGGACAGTCTTTGGTGGCGCTCCTCGGTTGAAACAAGCCTGGAAGCAGGAGTGTCATCCACTTCCATAAATAGCTTGCCTCCGGAAACCCTATGAATCTGGAGAAAGGATGAAAGTCATGCACACAAGTGTCGAGGACTTTCGTTCATAGGGTCGTTATGAGTCGCATACTATTCGACAGCACTTGAAACAACAACTAATTATGTGAAAGAAAATGGAACTCAACATATAGTTAATATTTAAATTAATATTAATTATTTAAAAATTACTACAGCCATACATTTACAGAGAATTTCCAGAAATTCAATCTAAATTTAGAAGGGGCCAAAGTATATGAGATAGATATCTTTGCTGATCTGAGATCAATCTTGGCTGAAATCATAGAACATCAGAAGGATATTTATTTCTGCTTTATTGACTGTACAAAGGCATTTGACTAAGTGAATCATAACCAATTAAAGCTAACACTGAGGAAAATAGGTATCGTAGAACTTGATTGAGTTCATGTGAAATTACACACAGATCAAGGATCTGTGGTTTAAGCAGAGTAAAGTCAGACTATCTGTGGTGGCAAAGGCTTATAATTCAAATTTTCATTTTTAGTGAACAATTAACGGCTATTCTTTTGTGTGCTGAAGTATTTAAAAAAATAAAATGAGGTTTATTTTGGGATATAAGCCCCACCCTACTAGAGGCCTGTATAAGCTCATGGAATTTCAATGTTAGTTTGCTCTTTTTGAGACACCCACTTTCCAGCTTCACTGCATCAGGTAGTCTTCCATGTTCATCATTCTCTACAAAACTGGCTGCATGCCTACAGTCAAGTGAGTCGTTCCCCTGATGGGTATGAGTCTCTGAGAGACCTTCCACCAAACCATCAAACCCAAGGAACAAAGAGGGTGAAGAAATGGCCGTTGATGTTGCAAATCATGGAGTAATACACCAAATCAAACATTTGGAACACTAGTCTCTGCATTCCTTTTTACTGATCTGCTATTAATCTTTGTTGTTGTTGTTATGTGCTGTCAAATCACAGGCAACTCATAGTGACCCTAAGTACAATGGCTCTGAAGCTTGCCCTATCCAAAGCCCATCTTACTGACTACAACATACCTTTCCTCTTTCCCCTAGTTACTGTGCTAATCCATCTCATCTGGAATCATTCTCTCATGAGTGGTCTCTTTCAAGTATAATGAGCTTCTGTAAGGACTGGTCTCTCTGGGCCACATGTCCAAAGTATGTAAGATGAAGCTTCATAGTCCTTGCCTCCAAATTATGACTACACACTGCACGGTTTAAAATGAAGAAAGAAGTGCATCAGGATTGTATCAGCGCCCCGAGCAAAGCAGCGCCCTGCAGGCTCCTAGGCCCCCCTCTTCTACCCAGCTCCACATCTCCCGGTCTCCCCATTCCCTCGTCACCCCATCTCCTCAACCCCTGTCCTCCCTTTAGACCCTCTGTCCTCCCTCTGATCTCCCTGTCTCCTTGTTCCCCTTTCCTCCATTTCCCCATTCCTCCATGTTTCTGTTTCCTCCGTCTCCCCCCCCCATGCCCATATCCTCCCCCAACTCTGGTCTCCCTAACCTATTCTCCCTGTCCCCTGACCCTCCCCATCCTCCATCCGTTCTGTGTCCCCCTGTGCCTCTCTTGTCCCCCCATCTGTCCCCTACTCCCCTCCTGTCCCCAGTCCCTGGGTTCCCACAGCAGCTCTGGCTGTCATAAGCTGCCTGTGAGCATGATTCAGGGGCTCCTATTCCTCTGATGTTAGCTGTAGTCTGTTATGGTCCTGCCAAGGGCTCCATCAACATTATACCAGTGAACCTCCTCTGGTACTTGAGCTTCCAGCCAGGGCCCACCTGACCTCGGCAGTGGCCTTCCTTGTGCCAAGTCCCAACTCTAATTTATAGCAATTTCATATTGATGTACTGTGTTTTCCATAATCTTCAGCAAAACGTGCCTTGCATTTGATAGTAATTCTCTTATTCAGTAATTTCTACAGTCTGATGGATCACCATTCTTGTAATGGAAACAAATAGGAGTCTCTCCCAGCCAGATGACCCCGTATTTTTTTTGGCAGAGCTTGAAGAACCTGTCCAGGGTTCCTCTATCGCCTTAAACACCTTAACTTGTATTTCCTCAATCCCTGGGACCAGATTTCATGCCAGTGCCTTCAGTGCAGATTAACGCTGTCTGCAATACTGGTTCTTGCTAATAGCTCATTCTGGAAGTGGTGACCAATTGTTTTCAGCAGAATAATTCTTTTTAGTCCATCTTCTTTTGATGGTCTGTGCTTCATTCACCATTTTGTCTATAGAATTGTTCAGTGTTGAAAATGGAGGGTTGAATTTGTTCTTCTATTCTTTAAAACTGAGAAATGCTGAGTTTGTGCTTCCCTTATAGTTTCTAACTCTGGATGTTTGCACATTTCATTATAATACTTTGTCTTTTCAAGCTTTCCTTACATTGTTGTCTTTCCTTTTTTATTTTCTTTTCTTTCTTGTGCACCATCAAATCTGATCTGCCTGGCACAGGAGGAGATTGCCCCTCATTCTCCATTGGAGCATCTGGTGAATTAGAGCCACCCACCTTCAGGATTGCAGTTCAGCTTCTTGCCACTAGGCTTCCTTTCCTAGCTGCCTTTTTAAATCTTTTGTGCAATCTCTTAACTCAGGTCTCCTTTCTCTTGTTTTGACTTCTTTTTGCTCCAATGGAAGTTTCAGAGTCTTTTTGGTTTTGCATTTTTATCAGAGCCTGATTTACAACAGCAGAGCTGGAAACAACACAAATGTCCACTGATAGAGGAATAACAAAAAACAATGGAGTATAGTCACACAGGGCAGATTATTCATGACTAACTATGATCACTTGTGGTGCTCTTTTTGCCCCATGTGGGGGTTAGCAGAGTGGACTTGCCAGATGAAATGGGGGTCTGGGGCCCAGAGTTTGCCAGCATTTGGGCATGCCAGGATGGAAAGATACTGAAGGGCCTGAGGGCCTGTGTCTTTCATTGTTTTTTTCAAACATTCCTCTAGGTCCCATAGCCCTGTGTGTCCACTTGCCATACAGTGGTAACATGTGCTTGTTGTGAGGCTGAACACTGTGACACTGATGTGTCAAACGCGTTATTGGTTGGTTACCCAATGCTGACAGTGTGGGCTGGAGCTCCCTGTATGAAACAAACTTGGAAGGAGGAGTGGCATTCACTTCTGTAATAGCTTGCCTCCAGAAACCCTATGAACCTGGAGAGAGGATGAAATACACACAAGTATTGAGGACTCTCCTTCATAAGGTCACTATGAGTTGCCTGCGACTCAACAGCACTGAACAGCAACAACAATTAATTTGTAAACGGAATAAACCATTCAAGATGTTAGACTGTATGAAATACTTGAGGCAGAAGACTGAAGACTACAGTTCAATATGGGTTATATCTCAATTTCAAAAAGGAAAATTCTCCACTGGACTAAAGCAACATCATGATAGATGGAGAAGAGATTGAAGTTGTCAGTGATTTCATATCACTTGGATCCACAATCAACACTCAGGATATTAGCAATCAAGAAAAAAAAATGCCTAATTGTATTAGGGAAATCTGCTGTCTAGGACTTAATTCAAAGTGCTTTAAAGTAAAGATGGCAGTAGAAGACTCAAGTCATATTTTTTTTCAATTATTTCCAAATCTTCTGAAAGGTAGACAATAAATAAAGATGAGTAAAGAATCAGTGCCTTCGAATGGTGGTGTTGGAGAAGACTGCTGAATATTCTATGGACTACCAAACAAACAAACAAGTCTTTCTTGGAGGAAGTACAATCAGGAGGCTTCTTCTTAGAGGTATGGATGGTGAAACTTCATCTCACATTCTTTGGACATGTCGTCAGGAGAGGCCAGTCATGGAAGTAAAACACATGTTGGGAAAGATAGGGGCCAAAGAAAGAGGGTAAGACCCTCCATAAGATGGGTTGGGAGAGTGACTATTACAAGGGGATCCAGGATATCAGAAATAATGAGGATGGCCCTGGATAAGGTAAGGTACAGATCTATTATTCATCAGGTTGATTTGGGACATAATTAACTTGGAAGAACCAAAACCAACATAGTGGCATTGTAGGGTGGAGTAGAACCTTCCTAGAATGCTTCAAAATAAATAAATTTTCAAAGACACAGACTGCTGCATCATTTGACCATGGATCAGCTGGTGAATTTCCACTGTAGACTGCTCAGTTAGCAGCCAAGTTTTTGATCACTTAACCACAAGGGCTCAACTTCATGAACAAAACCACTGGAGTACATCAAACTAGAAGCTAAAGATATTGGTGGAGATCTTTTTGTAGTCAAGAAGACAGGAAAAATTGAATAAAATGTGCTCTTTTCTTTGATGTCACATGTAAGCAAGATTCTGCTGAAGATTACCCAAAAACAACTGAAATAGCACATCAACAGAGACAT